GAGGGAGGCAGCAGGGCTGGGGGGATGAGGGAGACAGCAGGGCTGGGGGGGTGAGGGAGACAGCAGGGCTCCGGGGTAATGAGGGCGACAGCAGGGCTGGGAGTGGAGGGAGCGGGGCCAGCGAGGCCCTGGGGAGAGGCGGGGAGGGGCGGGTAGAGACAGCCGGGGTCTCTGGGGAAGCGGGGAGGCATCGGGACAGGGGACGGGTAGAGACTCCCGGGCTCTCAGGGAGGCGGGAGGGGGACGACCCGCGGACGCAGGCGGAGGAGGCCCACGACCCCGGCCGGGCCTGCGGCGCGGACGGGCGGCGGCGGAGGCGCGGGGCCCGTACCGAGTTGGAGAAGGTGACGCCGGCGTCCGAGCGCTGCACCCTGAGGAGCATCTGGTTGCCGTCGTCCAGAAAGTTGTTGACCTCTGGGCAGCCGTCCGCCCGCGGCTGGTCGCAGGGCTCCGGCAGGAGGCCGAAGTAGTTCTGGGTGGTGGTGAGGAGGAAGGCCTTCCGAACGTCCCAGGCCCCTCCCGCCATGGCGGCGGCCACGACGCGGGGACACGAGGGGTCCGGGGGCCGCCACCCGACCGGCGCAGCTCCGCTCACACCGCCCGCAGCCGGCCCGCTCGGCTTAGCGGTTGCCAGGGCCAGTCGCTATGGCGACGGGACCCGACGTCGGCGCGGGCCGCGCGCGCGCCGTGGACGTTAACGCGCGGGTGCGCGCACGCGCCGCGCTGGGAGGCCGCCGTCGCTTCCGCGCCTTGCGGCTGCTCGTCGGTCGCCGCCGCGGAGGTAAAGCTTTCCGGTCGCAAAAGCCGGAAGCGGTTGGAGGCTGTCCACGCGGTCCTCAGTGAAGCCGCGCGCCCCGGATTTCGGAGGGCTGGGCCGCGGGGGCCCCCGCTGCACCTGCAGCCGCCGGCCGCCGCGCTTGGAGGGACGCTGCCTTAAAAGTCGCTTTCGGAGGAGGCCGAGGACGAGTGGTGGAGTGCAGCGGTAACTCGCTTGTTGCATCTACCCCTCCCCTCCCTGTGTTGCCCATTTCCCACCCCTCTTTATTAACGAACTTCAGGAAAACGCAGAGGTTTTCGGCGCGGTCGGGACCTGAGTTTGCGGCCACCTGTGACACCAGCTGGCTCATCTTACAACAAGCACAGCCGAATCCTGGAGAAATATAGGACGTGGGGCGTTATCATTTTCTGCGCCGTGGCGTCATTGTGAACTCCGATACTGCTGCTCGCTGATCCCGGTTTTGTGAATCCAAAAATTATCTTCCAAGAACACTGAGCCCCGGAGACATGGGCCCTGCCCGGAAAGCATTTTGCCGGCTCTATCCTCGGGAACTTAAATAGGTTACGGATTTTTTTTTTTTTTTTTTTTTTTTTTGCATTCAGGAGTCACAATTTCCTGCTAAAACTATATTATTTTATCATTGCAAAGAGGGTCTTTTGATCTGCTGAGCATCTTGCTTAAGATTAGGGAGTGCGAACTAAAGACAGCTGAACTGCTGTGCCAGATGGTGGGAGAGAGGCGTCCATGAATTGGAATTCTGGTCACTGAATGGGGAAAAAATCCAGACAAGAACCCAAGGTGACTGACTAGCCAAAAAAGGATTTTGAAAGCGAAAGTGGCTGGTATGGATACAGAGATACCCGCTCTGCAGCGGGCGTTATGACCCTTCACAGGGTCTTCAGGAAAGTCACCACTACTCACAAATGCTTGGTCTGGAGGAATTGTTTTGCTGGAAACAGAAACGGTTGGATTTAGCATCCATGACAACGTGGTAAATGTAAAGGCAGCAGGTGTAGCGACAGGAGTCAGGAAAGCAGTTGAGATCCTACGAGTGCTACCCTTCCAGAAACTTGTGGGACTCTTGGGTGGGCTTTGGACTTCCACGAGATAGGAAATTGGAGTGTTTGAGTGTAGTTTAACCCGGGTGTCCAGAAACATAGAAACTCCAGCTGACGCGTAAACCCTGTGAGGATAGGAATTTTGTATGTCTTGCTCACTGCTCTGTACCTAGAATTAGGCATAGAGTGGAAAGGTCCCTGTACTCCTGAAGCTTCAAAAAGGAGGAAGGAATCTCAGAGATAATTAACTTATACAAAGCCACAGAAATGATTAGCTGTAGAACCAAGATTCATATCGAGCTCCAACTCCAAACGCATCTCTAGGCACGACGCCACAGTGGTACGCAGCCAGCTATCCACCAGTATCCATTGTCTCCAGCCACAGCTAAGTAGCTACTACCAGGGCACCCCACTCTCGGTTGGGCGTCCCACTCTTGGTTTGACTCTGATCATGATCTCACAGTTCAGTGAGTTCCAGCCTGCGTTGGGTTCTGTGCTGCTAATGCAGAGAATGTTTGGTTCTCTCTCTCTCTTTCTGCCCCTCCCCTGCCCCTTGCTCATGCTGTGCTCATGCTGTCTCTGTCTCTCTCAAAAATAAATAAACTTCAAAAAAAAAAAGAACTAGCCAGGTGTGGCCATAATGTAACTCTCATCAGCAGAATGCGGCCCGAAGCAATGTGTGCCATTGACAAGGGAAGTTTCAAAGAAGGGAGTGTGCCTTCAACTTTGGCCAGCTGGATACAGACAACAAAGCCATAAGAGATGACCGAACCACAAACCAGTAGGACCTCAGGGCTCCTGGCTCCGTGTGTAGTAAAGCCAGCAGCTGTTAAGTAAGCAAGAAATAACCTTCACTGTGTTCGAGCCATTTCACATTATATTTATGTGGATCTGTTTTTTTAGAGTAACTTAAGCCACTCTAATCAATAGAGTAACTGATCTCAGCAGTAGGGTGCTATTTGTTTGTTTGGGGTTTTGTTTTCTTTTGTTTTTATGTTTATTATGAGAGCATGAGGGAGAGAGAGAAGCTCAAGCAGGCTCCGAACCCGCAGCATGGAGCCCAACGTGGAGCTTGATCCCAAACCAAGAGTTGGGCACCCAACTAACTGAGCTACCTATGTACCCCCATTTTTTTTTAATTTTATGTAGGACATTGGTTTAGTAGTTGGCTAGCAGGTAGCATGAAATGTGAAGTGGAGGACAAGGGACAGGACCTTTCTGAGCTAAAATTTTCTGATTTTGTTCTATATTTGTATTTTTCAAACATCAGTTCTTAAAGGCTGTTGCCCTTTGGAATCTGGAACCATATCAATGATTCGACATTTCGTACTCAGCTACGTTAAAAGCCGTTGGTTATCTTGTACTCTGAATGGATTTTTTACCTAGGCACGGTTTCATAACATCACACATCGGTCATTTGGAAAATACTGGTTCACTGAGCTATGAGGATCTTCCAAATGTTGATACGTTTCATAACACAATATTAAAACAATCACATGCATTAGTATACCACTCAGCTCACAAGTCTCTATGTCTGAAGAGGTTGTTAGGTTTACAACAGAGAATGTTAACTTTTCCAAAATTCTAATTTTTTTAATTTCTTTTTTTTAATATGAAATTTATTGTCAAGTTGGTTTCCATGCAACACCCAGTGCTCCTCCCAACAGGTGCCCTCCATGCCCATCACCCACCCTCCCCTCCCTCCTAACCCCCATCAACCCTCAGTTTATTCTCAGTTTTTAAGAGTCTCTTATGGTTTGGCTCCCTCCATCTCTATCTAACCTTTTTTTTTTTTTCCTTCCCCTCCCCCATGGTCTTCTGTTAAGTTTCTCAGGATCCACATAAGAGTGAAAACATGGTATCTGTCTTTCTCTATGTGACTTATTTAGCATAACACTCTCCAGTTCCATCCACGTTGCTACAAAGGGCCATATCTCATTCTTTCTCATTGCCACGTAGTATTCCATTATGTATATAAACCACAATTTCTTTATCCATTCATCAGTTGATGGACATTTAGGCTCTTTCCATAATTTGGCTATTATTGAAAGTGCTACTGTAAACGTTGGGCTACAAGTTTCTAATTTTTGCATGCAAACTTGAATTTTATCATCGGCAATGAAAACTGGCAGTTGTTTTCCTTGAAATAACAGCCTTAAACCGTAAGAGACTCTTACCACCGGAGAACAAACAGGGTTGATTGAGGGAAGAGGGTGGGGGGTTGGCTAGATGGATGATGGGGGACTAAGAAGGGCCCTTGTTGGGATGAACACTGGCTGTTGTAAGTGATGAATCATTGAAGTCTACTCCTGAAACCATTACTACGCTATATGTTAACTAACTGGAATTTAAATAAATTTTAAGAAGATAGCCTTATTAGAGAATGCATTTTTGAGAAAAATGTCTGCTAAAGGCTCAGTCTCAATAACCAGAGCTTTTCTGCCATAAATGGCCTTATGTGAATACAGCTGCTGGTTCTGATCAGGACTCCAGGCCCAGGCTCCTCCTTCCTGCAGGCAGATCGCGGGTCACTGAGCCACCCGCGTGCCTTGTGTGTGTTTCATCTCATCACCTAGGACATGAAATGACTTGTCCTCAAGCTTTGGGACTCAGTCAAGATGGTAATCTTTACCCCTTTATTAAGGAACTCTTCCGGGAAACGGGGATCCTTTCCTGTGCGTGCATGGAGGTGGAGACCGGGTGGCTTCTAGAACAGCTGTGTGCCCCAATCTCCATCTGGGCCAAGGTGCTGGCAGTTTTAGCAGCCGCATTAGTTTTCCAGTGTTTCATCACCAAGAACTGCAAAGCTAGCAGCTTAAAACAACACCTCTTTTAGCGTGAAGTCCCACTTGTCAGTAATGGGGAAACTGCATACATGGATGTCCACTAAGGATCTCCTGTAGCTTAAATCAAGACATGGGCCGGGCTGAGTTCTCCCCTGCAGCTTGGGGGTCCTCTCCCAAGTTCAGACCATTGAGGCAGAATTAAGTTCCTTGCAGTTGTGAGACTCATTCCCCATTTCTTTGCTGGCTGTCGACTGAGGTTCCTTTCAGCAGGTGGAGGCAGCCACATTCCTCACGTCTGGCTTCAGAGCCAGCCAGAGAACTTTCCCACCCATCAGTTCTCCCATCACACCTCTTGTAACAGAAAAGAGGCTCATTCCTTTTAAGGGTTCACCTGATTAGACCAGGCCCAGTGGATGACCTTTATGAACTTTCAGTCAACGGATTAGTAAATTAAGCGTGGGAATGACAGCCCATGCTGTCTGCAGGTGTGGCGCCCCATCTCAAGGTCAGAGGGCTGCACAGGGTGTACCCACCAGGGAGTGGAAACCTTGGGGCCCCTTCCGAGTTGAGCCTGCCTCAGCTACCCTTGCTTTTGCACCACCGGTGAAAATGTCAAGCAGTTAAAGAGGCATAGAATGTCCCACCTTGTGAAAATTGCTTGATCTCCCAAACCCCTGAAGATGTCTTAAGTTCCCGCGGGGGTCCAGATGATCTCTAACGGATCTACATCTTTTCTATGGTGGTGACTGCAGGAAAACGGGCTTTTTCTGTTTTATCCATTATCTTTGACAAATATTGGGTAAATTATTTATCATGTTAGTTATAAAAATTGCTCCCTTAGGGTGCCTGGGTGGCTCGGTCGGGTGGCCGGCTTCAGCTCAGGTCATGATCTTGTGGTCCGTGAGTTCAAGCCCCGCGTCGGGCTCTGTGCCGATAGCTCAGAGCCTGGAACCTGCTTCTGTTTCTGTCTCCCTCTCTCTCTGCCCCTCCCCCATTCGCACTCTGTCTCTCTCTGCCTTTCAAAAATGAATAAATGTTAATTTTTTTTAATTGCTCCCTTTATTAAATATATTCTTTATACTTACCCAATGGAAAGAAAGAATTCCATGGGATTGTCAGACAATTTTTTGTCGTAAGGCAGTAATCATCTCGTTCGTGTTTTTAGACCGTGCTGGGGGGAACATAGTGGAGAGATGTCATTTCAGAACCTTGCCTTCACACTTACAAAGGCTGAAACTCACTCTTGGGCATAGTCCTCACATATTTCAATCACCAGCAGACAGAAATGTACACTCTAATAGGACACTCAATGATCAACTCACATACTGAAATCTACTCACCTCTCTGCATGTGTATGTGTCCCTATGGAAGACAAGAAACTCTGTTTTTTCTGAATGTTTCTGAAGTCCCTGAGAAATTACTAGCCGCTACTTCTGGGACAAATAGGGAACTAGATGCTCAGGTGTACTGGAGATACGGGGAGGGAGGGGGAGATATGTAAGCAGGGGGCTCATAGCTGGACAGTCCTTTCGTCTGCATGCCTCCTGCCCCCAGTGAATCCTGGGCAGAGTTGAGGAGGTAGGAGAATGGGCCGGAAACGTGATAATGTGGTAAGATTTTCCCCGGTCTCCACTGAGAGAACCAGAAACAGACATTAGAGGAGAATGAAAGGTGTGGAGTTCCTTGCAGATAATACTGGTGTGTGTGTTTCATTATAAAAAAGTACAGACATGACTGAATAATTGAAATATTTGACTCTTCTATCAAATTTTAAATCCTATTTATCAATGTTGGTGCTTTATTATGTTTTAAAAATTAAATATCAAAGTTAATTTTCAACATAATATTAATGGTAAGAATTATGGGAGGTATGGCAGAAACTAAATCTATTCTCTTTTTTAAAAACTTTTTAATGTTTATTTTTGGGAGAGAGAGACAGTGTGAGTGAGGGTGCGGCAGAGAGGGAGGCACAGAATCCGAAGCAGGGTCCAGGCTCCGAGCTGTCAGCACAGAGCCTGACGCAGGGCTTGAACTCAGGAGCCATGAGGTCATGACCTGAGCTGAAGCTGGACACTTAACCAACTAAGCCACCCAGGAGCCCCAAGAGAATTTTTTTTAAGTATAGTTTTGTGATGTTTTTATACTTCTTGGTAAAAATTGTTTCTACTTCTTGATGTTTGGTTTGTATTTACTTTCCGTAAGAGTTTAATTGACAAGTATCTTCTTGGTATTGAGGGACAAGAAGCCATATGGCAAAGCGCTTACTGGCTCTGACCGTCTCTGCACGTCCGTTCCATTCACATTTTCTAGGCCAAGCAAGTCACATGGTCACATCTAGCCACAAGTGCACAGGTAAGTGCAACTGTGGCTTGTGGGGAAGAGAGCTGTAGAATGTTTGAGAGCCTTCCCAGTGACTGCACACCTTCTCAACACCTTTCAAAGTAAGGAAAACAATACCGCTTGGACCGCACAAAATAACCTGCCCGCGTTCTTTCTTCTGCCACAGCAAGGAATAAAGTTGTAGATGGCGGCTGCTCTAATGACAAAGAACAGAGTTTCCTGCTGACCCTTGACCACCGCCTAGTGTGAGCAAGCAAACAAACGTCATGTCTTAAACGGTGGAGCTGTTGGCGTTCTTTGTTGCTGTGGCCCAACTCACCCATCTGAGCGCTGCAGTTAGGGCTTGTCCCACACCCGGCCCACACCCCCGGGCCAGTTCGCTAATTGACTTGACTTGAGTTCGCAAGGCTGCTTTACACGACGCTGTCTTCCTGAAATCTGCACCTGTACCGAGTTAGGTGCCCGTCATCTGTCTGACAAACAAAGCTAGTGCTTTTAATGTTGCCTTTCAGTGTGATTAAGTATGCTAGTGAACCTAGTGTTTTAAGGTTCTTGATAAAAAAATGTCAAAACAAGTAATAGGTAATATTCTCTAATGATGCTAATTATTCTTTTAAATGCTTTGATGCTGCTTTCTCTCCTGTGTGCCTGACCTAGCTTATCTAATCTTGCTTAGGCTTGTAACTGAATATCCTGTAATACTATTTGAAAAACACACACATACATAACCACTGATACAAACGAATCAGTGCTAAAATGAAAGCTTTTTCATACCATGGCAACTATCCATAAAAAGGTTCACATAAGCTATTAGAGTCTTTTATTTCCTGTTTCCATTTTTATCGATGTGAAATGATTGTTGCGTAAAGCGCAAGGAAGCCAGGACTGTCTCCTTCTTTTTTTGGATAGCTTCTGTGATAAAATAGCCCTCTGACGTCACCGCCGGTTGCTATGAGAATAGAACATCACAAAATTAGCAGCCTCCTTTTACTCAGCAGGGTAGCTCCAGACACATTTAAAGGATAAGAGAGCAAGTTGCAAGTCCCATTTTGCAAGTATTACCTTGGCACCCATAGTCCCTAAAGACATCTAAAAAATACGGAATTTGCGATTTTACACCAGTAAGAAACTTGCTCCCTGCAACGAGGGAAAGTCACTCTTGTTGTGTGTTGAATGATCTTGCCTGGAATGGGGCTAAGAGTCGATGGAAACACATCTGGGGCAGGCCCTGACTAGAGAAAAGGATCTAAGATCTCCACGCGATACACGGTCTTGTATCCGGTATGAAACATGGCTCCTTGTGGTCCAGCCGCAACCTGTAAACCAGAAAGATAAGTTATCCGGGCTTCCTGCAGGGACACTCGGAGGGATTGCTTGTTTTAAGGATCAAAGTCTTCTTTTTATCCATGCCCATGGTTTCCTTAACAATTAACAATTACCTTTAAAAGGTGACCTTTTTGCTATATGTGCTTCTGGTTCCCGTATTGTAAATTCTGCACTCGAGCTCCTTCCTGTATAAAACTCTCAAGGACGATGTATCTTTTTGCCTCCTCACGTGTGTGCCCCTCTCTCTCGACTAAGGACTATCTGACTGCTCTCTGAAACACTAAGCTTAGAACCCTTAATCTCATCTTTGCGGAAAAATTGTGTCATTTCTTTTTTTAAATCAGCGATCTTTTAGTAACTTTGTCACTTAACACTTTACAGTCTTGTTACTGAGGGTCTAGGGACAGTCCGCTTTTCTAACCCTAAAAGGACCTGGATCAGAATTCCTTAATACCTTTCTGTGTCTTCTAGAAAACCAAACAGTTCTCCTCTGAGCTGTCACTTACGGTATCTTGCTAAAGGCAGATAACAGTATCTAACACACGTCACTGCCTCCATCTACTTCCCATTGAGTTAGAGTCTCACTGGGCTCCTGGTCTACCTTCTACGTCCCACTGGGGACGGATTTACTAAATATGTTACCAGGGTACAGAAGGGCTGTCCCGCTGACCAGCCTGCTGCCCAATGACTTGTTCTGTACGACGTATTTTAAGTGTCTGTATGGCAGTGCCTTTCTTCCAGGCACCAACGTCGATTCACACGGTAGCCCTCGCTCTCATTCGCCAATGTGTCTGGATTTTCCCTTTTGTGGCACAAAGGAGGATTGCGGTTCTTTGCTCTTTTTAAAGATAAGCATGACCATTTCTTTGAAACGTAAGCAGAAGTGACGTGTCACGTATGCACACGAACCTTCAAAGCTGATGTATCATTTACCACGTTCTTTCCCAGTCCGTGGTGATCTCGGAAACAGAAGTCAGGAGGGAACTTTTATCAGCCTCGCTCCCTGAGTAGATAGCTGTTCACGGAGTATAGTGTTCTTGATGGTGTATCAAAAACAAGAAATGCATTTTTGTTATAATGAGATTTTGGTGTTGTATGTAACTGTAACATAGCCCTGTCCTGACATGTACAGTCTAGGTATGGCAGCGTTTACCAATAAAAACCCCACAATTTCAGTGGTTTCACATACTAGAAATTTTACTTATCCTGGAGTTCACTGTGGTATTTGGCAGGCAGCCTTCCACATGATGACTCAGGCATCAAGTCCTCCACTTTGTGGCTCCACTGTCCCCCAGGTGATAGAATTCTCTCCAGAGGACTTTGAACGTGGCGGATTGGCAGGTAGGGTGAAGTCTGACACAGGAGACTGTGATGGCAGTTCCCGACAGCCTGAGCCAGTGGGGAACGTAATCTCGCTGTGTCTCTGAAGTAAGAGAAAGAGTTTTAGTGAGCACAGTCCTCAGTGACACAAACCCTAAGCTCCGTTCAATGCACCTGTAGGCCCTGACTGGCTTCTAAGGTGTGTGCAGCGCTGGCCTCCGGGCATGCAGGCTGCAGTCGCACAGAGCCTCATGCTCAGAGGGGTTTCATGCTCTCCAGAGCACTCACTACTTTCTGGACAAGGGATTTTGCCGTTTCATTTTGTTCTGGGCCCCAGGGATTATGTAGCTGGGCCTACAGGTAGGTTATACCCAGAAGACTTGCAGATAGAGCCCTTGGGCTATGGAACGGGGTAGAATTCACTGAAGGTTGTCTGAGAACTCTCTGGATTTTTTGGCCTGTAGAGAGAAAAAAATTTGGGTGTGCTTTTCTCGTCTGCACATGCTTGCTCCTGGCCGTTATAGTCACGGTCATTCTTGTTGTCTCGAGAATTATGCCTGTAAAAGCAGAAATGCCAAGAAAACCAGTCGATTTTGGCTTTTTACTTGACAAATCTGCTATGCTGTAGCAGCAGGAGGTCATCTGGGCTAGGAAAGGGGTCAAGAGCTGGGGAAGACTCAGCCTCGGAGGGGGTCCCTGTGAGGCTGAAGGCGAGGGAGTAGCTCTGTGAACAACACGTGGAGAGCAGAAACGGCAGCACAGAGCAGCGCGCCTGCCCAGCAAGTGTCTGAGATTGCGTGCGGGCCACTTCCTGTCTTCCAGGCATCATGGCCTCTGCTGCAGAGTCACATGAACTGGTCTTCCCTGACCTCCAGGAACTGTCCACCACCCCCCCCCGCCCCCGCCCCAGTCACCTATGGATCATCCAAAGACACGACGCGTACCCACGGCCCAAGAATTCGCTCAGTTCCATTCAAACGGCCCTGTGTCCACAACCCGATTTTCAATGGCTGAGAACATGGCTAAGATCCCTGGAACCAAAGACAGGGCTGTTGACATTCAGAAAGGGTGGTAGTGGTACGAGAGGGAAAGCCCCCTTACCAGAATTTGGGTGGGAATATCGAAAAAAGGGGCAAACCACCCCTTTAACATGCATCCTTTTCCTCCTGGCTTTGGTTCTGTGGACGACCTGAAATTGAGCCCCTTTCTAGCTGAGTGGAACTTGACTTCTGTTGGGTGTTCCCCAAGGAGTCCAACCGATACGTGATTGTGCACCCCCCTTGGCACTTCTGTTAGCACCTTTATGTTTATTTTCCCACTTTCTCCACAGTCCAATGCTGTGACGTCTTGATTCGGCAGACATGGTTACTTTATCATACAGATGAGTCACAGCATGATTCGATGGTTTATCCACAGTTGCAGAATTTTAAAAGGCAAGCCCATCAGTCTGTTGGTGGTTCTCTTTTCTTTTCTTTTCCTTTTCTTTTAACATTTATTTATTTTTGAGAGACATAGAGCGTGAGGAGGGGAGAAGAGAGACACACACACACAGAATCTGAAGCAGGCTCCAGGCTCCAGGCTCTGAGCTGTCAGCAGAGAGCCCAACGCAGGGCTCGAACTCACAAACCGTGAGATCATGACCTGAGCTGAAGTTGGACACTTAACCTACAAGCCACCCAGGCGCCCCATTGGTGGCTCTCCTTTTAAGACACCGTTTCCACTATGCCATCTTTCCCACGTTAGGTTTGGGGGAGTATGAAGTGTAACAAAACACAACAGTCATCCATGCTTAAGACCGTAGAAATGCTTTTAAGAACACACATAAGTCCTAGCTGCTTGCACCCACTCTGGCCTACTATACTACGCGTCCAAGAAGGCAGCTCTTTTCTGCAGCAAGCCACGAAACCCGTGCACTCTTTGCCGGTAGTTTTAATTCTGGGAACTCTTGGTGTTCATCCGGGACACACATTCACCTACCAGAGGGCAACTCAGGGGCCAGTTGAATATGATTTCCCTTCTGAGCACTTCCATTTTCATTTTTAAGTAATCTCTACACCCAATGTGGGGCCCAGATTCACAACCCCAAGATCAAGTACAGCATGCTCTACGGACTAGGCCAGCCAGGGGCCCCTGAACACTCACTCTTAGTCTTCCTGGTTAGATGTCAAGCTCAGAGCCCTCCTGGGTTGCCTACCTGGTGTACAAGACAATGCTTTTTACCTACGACCCCACATACAGATTTTTATGAATTCTGATCTTCCTAAGGGGTTCCTGCCTAGAGGGCTCTTCAGTTACTACTTTTTCCTGCACTCTGCTAGTTTTAAATGCTGATCTACTTATTTCTGTTCACTTCGACCCTTTTAAAAATACACTTTTTTCATTTGAGCAGTTTCAGATTTAAAGGGAGTGGCAGCAATACAGAAAGTTCCCATATGTTGCAGTCTCTACTGTTGTTAACATCTAACATTAGTATGGTTTATTTCTCACAATTAATGAACCAATTATGATTAAGTAGGCTCCATTCTTTTTTTCCATTATCCATTTATTTTGAGAGAGCGCATCAGAGCAGGGCAAGTACAGAGAGAGAGGGAGACAGAGACTCTGAAGCAGGCTGCAGACTCTGAGCTGTCAGCACAGAGCCCGACGGAGGGTGCGAACCCACGAACCGTGAGATCATGACCTCACCCAAGACCAAGAAGAGTGTAACACTTAACTGACTGAGCCACCCAGCCACCCGTGGCAAGGTTGTTTTAAAAATCAATGGTACAAGGGGCAGTTGGGTGGCTCACTGGGTTAAGTATCCAACTTTGGCTTAGGTCATGATCTCACGGCTCGTGGGTTCCAGCCCTGCGTCGGGCTCTGTGCTGACAACTCAGGGCCTGAAGGCTGCTTCAGATTCTCTGTCTCCCTCTCTCAAAAATAAATGGTCATTAAAAAAAATAAAAAATAAAAATAAATCGACATTAATGTATAGCAAGGACAGGATGTAGAATGGGGACCATGTACGTGGCATCCTATCGATCACTTAATTTTTGTGTTGCTTCTTTTTCTGGCAAGTGCAAATGCCCTATTTTAAAGAAGTGCTAAGAAAAAATAAACTGTGTATGGAATAACTTAACAGCTCTCAGTGGACCATTTTGGCTGCCTTGATTCAAATACAACTATTTTAAAATATCTTTTTCATCATTTGATTCTATAACCTTCAAAAGCTAAGGGATGTAGGTATAATCAAGACGCTGAGTAGACACCAGTAGAGCTATGGCTCAGTCCCAGTCCTTCCCTCACCGCCCTATTTGGCATACACGCCCACTGTTGTTATAGATGGATATTCAGTTGTTTTTTGTATAGCCTTCTACCTAACAGTTGGATGAAATGAAGAATAAAGGAAATTCTGTATCTTACCTAAAGTCACCCGTGAGTTTCTGCTCAATGTAAGGCTTCATGCTTCCCTTTCTTTCTCATTATTCTCATTTAAAAAATTCTACACAGAGAGAACCGCACTGCTGTGTGATATCGCCCCTCCATTATTGTGAATAGTTGTGAATTCATGTGCTGCCCATGGGTTAGTGAGCAATGGGAAAGATTAAAACCACGTAACCATACGCGGGGGTACTATTCATGAGCAGTGATGCAATCAGTCTGCCCCTTCTGTGAGTAATGGGGGATGACAGAATACTCCATTCTGCCAATGGAGGTAGATGGTAGTGGCAGTAGGTACTGACCAGAGAAGGCTGGAACCCTGGACATTGTCATCCCTTTCACACCACTGACAAGCACAGGTTACTGCCCGTATTCCTTGCTCCTAAAGTTCTCTTAAATGCAAATGCTTCCCATATATTTTCCCCTCTGGACTGTAAGTTTCATGAATGCAGGAGTCATGCCTACCTTTATCCCTAACCCAGCACAGTTCCTGGTCTAAGTGATCATTAGATATTATGTGAGTAATAAACTGAATGAATACCATGCATAGACTCAGCCTTTCAGTTATTTTTATTCCAGAGAATTCCACAGATGCAAGATCCTATCCAGTCAATTCTCCAGGTGGCTGGGGTGGGGATTTTCTTCCCTATGTCTAGAAGTAGCACTGGTAATTGTTGTCTAGAAAGGAGTTCTCTTGGGGCTCCTGGGTGGCTCAGTCGGTTAAGTGTCCGACTTCGGCTCAGGTCATGATCTCGCAGTTCGTGAGTTCAAGCCCCGCGTTGGGCTCTGTGCTGACAGCTTGGAGCCTGCTTTGGATTCTGTGTCTCCCTCTCTCTCTGCCCCTCCCCCACTCACACTCTCTCTCTCAAGAAATGAATACACATTTAAAAAAAATTGTTTTAAAAGGGGTTCTCTCTTCTTTAAAGAGTATTCAGTGGAGAAAAGACAGTCTTTTCAAAAAATGGTGCTGGGATACCTGTATATCCGCATGTAAAGAAATAAAACTGGACCCTGATCTGACAGTACTCACAAAAACTAACTCAAAATGGATTAAAGACTTAAATGTAAGAGCAGAAATGATGAAACTCTTAGAAGAATACATAGTAATAAAGCTCCTTGATGTGGTCTTGGTGATGATTTTTGGCTGTCACACCGAAAGCACAAGCAATAAAGTCAAAAATCAACAAGTGGCCTACAACACACATCTGCACAGCAAAAAAACAACAATAAAGTGAAAGAACCAAGGGGAGAATTGCAAACCACATGCCTGATAAGGGGTTAGTATCCAAAACATATAAAGAACTCCTACAACTCGACAAGAAACAACTCAATATGTGAAAGGCCAACAGGTACAGGAAGGGAGTTTTCCATCACCAGTCATCAGCGAAGTGCATCGCAAATCCACAAGGAGGTATCACCTCGCGTATGGTAGCATGGCCATGGTAGCATGGCCGTCGTCAAAGAGAGGGAACAAACACTGTCAGGGGTGGAGGACGGAGCCTCGTGCCCTGCTGGTGGGACTGCAGACTGGAAAAGCACACAGCGGATCCTCAAAGACTTAAACTACCATATGATGCCTCACTTCCACTTGTGGGAGTTGACCCGTGAACAACGTGGGGGTACAAGCACCAGCACCCCCATGCTCAGGTGAAAATCTGTTTATAACTTTGGGCTCCCCGAAAACTTTACTGTTAAGAGCCTGCTACTGACCAGAGCCTTACAGGTGACACCAACAGTCGGTTACCATGTACCTTGTATGTTACATGTATCACTGTGCTCTCACAACAAAGTCATCCAGAGAAAAGAAGGAAGACACATTTGCAGTACCCAGGTGTATTTACAGAAAACACCTGCAGGGAAGTGACTGGCACAATTCAAGGGTCAGGTGTGTACTCGCAAAGGTAACAAAAACACTAACTTCTAAAGATGTCCTCACCCCATGCTCACAGCAGCATTATCTACAAGAGCCCAGACACGGAAATAACCTAAGTGTCCACCAAGAGATGGATAAAGTTCTGTGCGTGTGTGTATCACATCAGAGTGTTATTTATTCACCCTAACGAAGGGGGGAAATCCCATGTGGATGGATCTTGAAGACATTAGACTGAGAGAGTGAACAAAAACTAAAGTACGTGTAGCTGGAGTCTAGAAAAAGGACAACTCGCGAAAAGCGACCAGACCTCCCTGGTTGGCACTGCCTGTCCGGCCTTGGGTCACGTGTGCATTCTGATGGCACTAAGGAAACCAGATCTCCTGGGTGGCCAAAGGACAGTGCCTAGGTGGAGGTGCCTCACCGCACCACTGGTCCTCTGCACACAACCACTCCCTGGGTCACACGTGTGCTGACTGCCAAGACCCTCCCCCACAGTCTGCACACAGTCGTGGCCTGTGGCCTCTTTAGGAGCAGTGGTGGTGGAGGGCAGGGGAGAGTATGGTAGG